ATTCCATCATAACTTGAGAACACAGGCAAATGTGGGTTTGATTCTGTTGTTAGTAAACTTAATATTTTTGGTAAATGGAAAAGCCCTGGGGAAAATTGATGCACAGAGATATCTGGGTGTTCAGGTCCATTGTACCCTGAAGGTGGCAACGCAGGTCGATAGAGTGGTCAAGAAGGCATACGGCATGCTTTCAATCATCGGACGGGGTATTGAGTACAAGAGTTGGCAGGTCATGTTACAGTTGTATAGGACTTTGGTTCGACCACATTTGGAATACTGCGTACAGTTCTGGTCGCCACATTACCAAAAGGATGTGGATGCTTTAGAGAGGGTGCAGAGGAGGTTCACCAGGATGTTGCCTGGTATGGAGGGTGCTAGCTATGAAGAGAGGTTGAGTAGATTAGGATTATTTACATTAGAAAGACGGAGGTGGAGGGGGGACCTGATTGAGGTCTACAAAATCATGAGAGGTATAGACAGAGTGGATAGCAAGAAGCTTTTTCCCAGAGTGGGGGATTCAATTACTAGGGGTCACGATTTCAAAGTGAGAGGGGAAAGTTTAAGGGAGATATGCGTGGAAAGTTCTTTACGCAGAGGGTGGTGGGTGCCTGGAACGCGTTGCCAGCGGAGGTGGTAGAGGTGGGCACGATAGCGTCATTTAAGACGTATCTAGACAGATAGATGAATGGGCAGGGAGCAGAGGGATACAGATCCTTGGAAAATAGGTGACAGGTTTAGATAGAGGATCTGGATCGGCGCAGGCTTTGTTCCTGTGCTGTAATTTTCTTTGTTTTTTTTTTGTTGTTCATATCCTCTTTATAAAAGTTTCATTTCTACTTCAAATTCAGGGCGCCTCAGCTATTTTTAGACCACCTTTAAATCCTGTTGGAATATGTCTGCTCAGTGGTACCCTGTCTGTGTTGTCAATTTTCTTTTCAATGGACATGAACCAGTTTCTTATGTGTCTCTTTGAAATTTACTTTTTCCTAATTGTTATCTTTGACTGCTTATTGTCTATTTCAGTTTTTATGTTCATGAAGTTCAATTGAGTAGTTCCCCTCTCATAGGGGAACCTAGAACAAGGGGGCACATTATCAAAGTTAGGGGTAGGCTGTTTAAGAGTAAAAGAGAAAGGAGGCTAATAACACGAAGAATGATAAAAATCTGGAACTCTCTACAGCTTAACCTTAGACTGGCTGCTGCAGAGTGTCTGTGTATGGTAAACTGGACAAAAATTTGGGAAATAGAGTATAATGTGGGAAAATGTGAGGTTGTCCACTTTGGATGCAAAAATGGAAAAGTGGAATATTATTTACATGAAGAGCGTATGCAGAATTCTATGGTACATGAGAATTTGGGTGTCCTGGTACATGAATCATGAAATATTAGCATGCAGATACAGCTAAAAAAGAAAAGAAAATAAATTATTGGATTTTATTGCAAGGGAGATAGAGTACAAAAGTAAAGAGTTCTTGCTACAGCTGTATAAGCCATTGATTATACCATACCTATGACACCACAGAGACGTTTGTCTCTTTATTTAGTAAAGTCTATACTTGCACAGCAAGCATTTCAGAAAAGGTTCACTACATCTATTCTGGAATAAAGAAGTTCTCTTATGAGGAAAGTTTGAGCAGGTTGAGCTTATCTTCTTTATAGTTTGGAAGAATTAGAGATGATCTTTTTGAACCATGTAAGATTCTGGGGGAACTTGACAGGGTGGATGTTGATGGGATACTTCCCTTCCTGGGAGAATCTAGTAGTTTCCACCAATCTACCTGCTACGAATGCATCTACTCATCGCAGTGTCAGTAAGAGTGATCACGAGACAGTGTTTGCAGATACAAAATCCTGTCTTCATTTTGAGGATACTCTCTATCATATTGTATAGCACTATTACCATGCTAAATGGGATAGACTTTGAACAGATCCAGCCACTCAAGACTGGGCATCTATGAGGTACAGTTGGCCATCAGCAGCAAGCAGAATCTACTCCCAAAATGATCTGCAACCTCATGTACTGGCATGACCATTAAACCAGGGGATCAACTGCCATTATCGTTAAGTCAGGGGATCAAACCCGGTTCAATGGAGTAGATTCTGCCTGCTGCTGAATCCCTTGCTGCTGAATCACTGACTCCCTTTGACATCAAACCTGCTTTTGATGAAGTGTGGCATCAAGGAGCCCAGGTAAAACTGGAATCAATGGGAGTCGGTGGAAAATTTCTGATTAGAGTCACACCTGGCACAAAGGAAGAGGATGTTGGAGGTCAGTCTTCTCAGCTCCAGGATATCTCTGCAGGAGGTCCTCAGTGTGTCCTAGGTCCAAACATCTTCAGCTGCTTCATTAATGACCTTCCCTCCATCATAAGGTCAGAAGTGAGGATGTTTGCTGATGATAGCACAATGTTCAGCACCATTCGTGACATTTCAGATACTGAATCAGTTCAAATGAGACAAGATTTGGATAATATCCAGCTTTGGCTGACCAGTGCAAGTCACATTAGTGCTACACAAGTGCCAGGCAATGACCATCTCTAACAAGAGAAAATCTAACTATCATGCCTTGACGTTGAATGGTTCACCATATCTTAATTCCCCATTGTCAACATCCTGGGGTTACCATTGACCGGAAATGGAAGAGACTCACCATAAAAATACTGTGGCTACAAGTCTAGGTCATGGAAAGAGAACTACTTTTTTACGCAAAGTAGTTTGTGTGGAATGAATTACCAGAGAAAGTGTTGGATGCGGGTACAGTTATAATATTTGAAGGACATTTCAATAAGTTCATGAATAGGAAAGGTTTAGAGGGAAATAGGTCAAGCGCAGGCAGGTGGGACTAATTTAGTATGGGAAACTGGCTGGCATGGACTGGTTGGACTGAAGGATCTGCTTCCATACTGTATGACTTTATGTGACTGTCAGTTCTCATTAACTGAGATAGTAGGAACTGCAGATGCTGGAGAATCTCAGATAACAAGGTGTAGAGCTGGATGAACACAGCAGGCCAAGCAGCATCAGATTTCTGAAGAAGGGTCTAGGCCCGAAACGTTAGCCTTCCTGCTCCTCTGATGTTGCTTGGCCTGCTGTGTTTATCCAGTTCTCATTAATTGTTGGATTCTCCATGACAATGCCTATATGAATCCACTTTCCATCCAATCAGCACTTTTCTCCTTACTTTGGAAATTCTTGCAATTTGTCCAGATGAGTGGAAGATGAAAAACTTTGACAAAATGTGTCTTTTTCAGCAGTACTCTAGTTCGGTACTACCAAACAACTAGTTTTATATAAAGGAGAGAGTCACTCAAGTAAGTTTTTATCCTTTAAAGCAGAGGTAGGAGAAATCTTCATGGGAATGAGAACATTGCAGTGAGACATTATACAAGTGTTTCTTCACAGCAAAAGACACCGATATCATACCAGTAATAAATATTAACCAAGAGCTGGTAAAATTGAGGAACTTCCAGCAATTATTATCAAGTAGAACAAGCATTGGAGCAACCTGCGGAACTAAAATCCAGCAAACTCCCAGGACGTGATGGCTTCCGTCCTAAGGTTCTAAAATTATTAACTCCAGCATTAATGGGTATAATAATTACAAGATTCCAAAATTTCCTTGATTGTGGAACGATCCCAGTGGATTAGAAGCTAGCAAACATCACTGCCGTTTAAGAAAGGAGGGAGAGAGAAAACCATAAACTACAGGCTGGAAAGCATTGGTATTTATTGTTAAGATAATGTTCATAGTGCATTTGGGATGTCACAGATCAGATAGAGTCAATGAGATCTTACAAAAATGGAAATCATATTTGCCAAATTGAATTTTTTGAGGATATAGGGTAGTTAAACAGCAACCTGGATTTCCAAAACGCATTTGAGAAGGTGGCAGACCAAAGGTTAATGCATGAGATAAGGCTCATGGTAACGGGTGTAATATATTATCATGGTTGGAGGACTAGTTAATGGAGAAGAAGCAGAGAATAAGAATAAATCAACTATTATCAAGTTGGCTGACTGAATCTACTGATCAGATTTCAGCCATTTACATCTGTATTAACGACTCGGACAAAGGGACTGTGATAATGTATCCGTGTTTGCTCATTGAAATGCTTCAAAATAGTGATAGCTGGCCCACCAAGCTGAATCATGCTCTGATTGATGACATCTTAATGATGAGGCCAAGAAGTAGCAGAGTAGGAAAGAAAAAGAAGAGAATCATGCTTTCCAGTCCCACTACATCATGGGAAATCCTGCTCCTCGTACCCAAAGATCAGTGCATTGAAAATTGACCTGCTCAGCCATCTGAAGACACATTGGGAAAAGCTTGTGACCCTGGGCAGATGTCGTCTTGAATTGAAGATCAGCCAGTGACGATTCACATTATTAATGATGCAAAGCACGGTGGGAGTTTGGGAAGAGATATAGATCGGCTGGCTGAGTGGGCCAAAGGTGACAGATTAACTGTAGTGTGGAGAAGTGTAATCTTATTCCTATAGTTATTAGAAGAGAAAAGAATATTTTTAAAAGCCACAAAACAGCTTATTGATGGTGTTCAGATGACTGGAGTGTACTTGTATAGAGAACATAGAAGTTAACTTGCAGATACAGCATGCAATTAGAAAGGCATATGGTATTTTGGCCATTATTGGAAGGGGCTGAAGTAGAATACTAAGAAAATTCTGCTACAATTGTTTGGTGAGAACACCTGTGTACAGTTTAGTCTTACTCATTCCCCAAATTGCTATGGCAATAAGGGGGTCAATGGAGCTTCTAAGACTGAAACGGTTTTTTATGAGTTAAGTATATCAAGGATAAAAATGAAGGAAAGGAGGTTAAACGAAAGTGAAATACAGTTTAGCCTTGATCTGACTGAATGGTGGAACAGGCTTGAAGGGCTTAATGACCTCCTGTTTCTGTGTTAATCACTGAGAATGCGATTGGTAAATAGCTGGTGAGTAGGTACAGTTTTAATGTATACTTTTCTGCTGTGATTTAAGTGGTGCAGAGCTGGGGAGTGTGTCAGTAAAACGCCAATTCCGGAGCATGTGGATGGAGACTGGAGCACTTGGAACCAGTGGAGCATGTGCAGCCGGACATGTGGAACAGGAGCCAGGTTTAGACAAAGAAAATGTGACAATCCCCCGTAAGTAATTTTGATAAGTTCTACTGCACAATATGCTGTAATTTATTGCTGTACTGCTTTAGCAGGAAGTGCTGCCTTTTACCAGATCATATGTTATCATGCTTATTCTACAAGCACTTGGTAATGCTTCAAAGTAATTACGTATATCACAGGAAGAAAGCTTATTTTTCGTATCAATCATACATAGCTCATGCCCTGCATGGGGGTAATCTGCCTAAGTCATTACAGGAGTCAGGGTGCTATTTCCCCATTCAGGGGCAATCTTTGGGAAGGATGGCGTGGAGAAAGAAGTATTGTGAGTAGTCTGCTGTAGGCTGTTATTGAAGGCCAGAAAGAAAAATTTAAAACCTTATATCATCGATTTTATAACAATGTCCAATTTAGCAGTTTCTTTCTGTGAAATTCCTTTATCAAAGCTTGTTTAAGATACATTTTATGACCTTTTTTCTAAGTACCTTTAAAAGTTTTTCTTCAGTTTAATCTTACAACTGTACCTCAGGAGCCAATAGATTCTCCCTTTAGCCTCCCCCATTCCTGTACTTTGGAGAGGACAAGGATCAGGAGACCTGTAAACTGAGATACCATCCTGACCAGGCCCTTACACTGACAGTCACACCTCCTCCTGTAAAGATCTAGGTGGGCTACTTCACCCTGACCTTAACAAGTCCCCTTAGAAAGCAGTAGCCGAGTTGTGCAAGTTGCCAGAGCACTCTTTATAAGTGTCGAGTGCATGCGTTACAAAGCACTTCACAGCCTGTTAAAACATGTTAAACTGCAAGTACTCAAAGCCTATCTGAATCTGTTGTGAAGATGCACTGAGGAGAATTGGAAAGGTTTTCATAGAAAATAAAAATAAATTTTCAAATAGTTTTAATGCACAGAGGTGATTAACAGTAAATCTATGGATGAGGAAATCCAGTTTTATAAATTAGGCATAGTGCTCACTTGCTTAATTAATCAGATTAAATAAAGTGCTTGAAGATTATTAATAGTGTGTTCTGATTGACTTCTCAGTTGCATATTAGTTGTCAAGCAGACTGCCTTGAACAACATGCACAACGTTGAGTCGTGGACCTGTCACAGCATGTTTAGAAAGAGGTAGAGTAAAAGAATAGAGTTCTAACCAGGGAAGAAATCCACTCTGAATATTTCTTGTGTCATGTCATTTCAGTGATGACAGATATGTCTTGATTATAAGGTGTGGGTTTCATCCCCCTGTGGGCTGGGCTTCAGTCAATTATCACATAGATAGAAGTGTGCATTTGAGGTAAGATGTTAACACTCAGTTCTCAGAGATAGTAAGAACTGCTGATGCTGGAGTCAGAGATAACACAGTGTGGAGCTGGAGGAACACAGCAGGCTAGGCAGCATCAGAGGGGCAGGAAGTTTGACGTGTTGGGTCGGGACCCTTCTTCAGAAAAGTAGTGTCCCAACCCAAAACGTTGACTTTCTTGCTCCTCTGATGCTGCCTGGCCTGCCGTGTTCCTCCAACCCTCAAGCTCTGCCTGCTTTCTCAAACTGGGCTAAAGGTTCTTATTGAGGGTTAGGAGTCCTCTGGTTACCAGTCAAACCCTGGCCAATGCTACCAAAAACATTAGTTGATATGGTTTAATCTGTAGCTTGTGTAAGTTGACTGTGCGCAAATTGACTACTGTATTTTCCTGAATAGCAATGGTGACTATAGAAATTAGCTGGTTGTGACATGCTTTGGGACTTGTGTCCAGAATCTTTCTTTAAATTTTGTTACAGTTCTTCCAAATATGCTACCGTTTATATGAATCATTTTGTTATTGTTGAAGCTTCAATGTGTGTATCAGGGAAAGAAATGCTTTAAATTGTACAACGTTTACTGATCAATCATTACTTCCCCAATTTCTGGTTTTCCCATTGATTTTTTTTCAGCTCTCTTGCTGCGCTTGCTGATAGTTGAAGTTCAGTCTGTATATATCCAACTAGCAGTTTTGCTTCCAACATTATTTTGGAAAAAGTTGAAGAGTTCACATTTCACTTTTGTTGATGTTTCATTTAAAAAAAAAACTAATTTTGGCCACTCCCGTTCCTTTCAAAAATTGGTGCCCTTGAGGATTTCTGCTGCAATAATTTTCCATTGTTACCTCATAATGCAAGAGTGAACCGAAATGTGAAGCAGCATCTCATGGCACACTGTGACTGACCAGTGTTTTTATTAATCAATGAAAATATATTAAAAATTGCAGTTCATGCTGAAAATGAGGCTACTTTCTTAGTTGAGTCTGGGCAGCTGATGATACTGGTTGTGGTGGAGTCTGGACCTTGGGTCTCTTACAGAGGCATGAAGTTCAGAGAAGATCTACTAGGCTAATACTGGAATGGGCAGATTATCCTATGCAGAAAGGCTAGACAGACTAGGCCAGTGTCCTCTGACATTTAGAAGAGTAAAAGGTGACTTAATTGAAACATATAAGATTCTGAGGAGACTTGACCAAGTGGATATTGAAAGCGTGTTTCCCCTTGTGAGAGAATGTAGAACTAGAGGTTGAGGAGGTGCCAATTTAAGGTTAAAATGCAGAAACTTTTTTATATCTGAGGGTTGAGAGGCTTTGGAATTCCTTTCTTCAAATGTACAGGATGCAGAGCTTTTAAATATTATTAAGGCAGAGGTAGATAGATTCTAGATTCCTAGGGGGATAAAAGATTATTGAGGGATGTGCAGGAATGTGGAGCTGAGGAGGTTAAAATCGATTAGCCATGACCCTAATAAATGGCCGAGCAGGCTGAAAGGGCTGAGCGGCCCACTCTTGTTCCGTGTTTGTATATCGTAAAAGTTTCAAATAGTTACTCAAGTTGCAGGCTTTTGTTGTATAGGTGGAATGAATATATTTTCTCGTAAGTTTGTCTTGTTTTCTTTTTGATTCTTACTTTCACTGATATGTTTCTTATTTGTTTCCTGAAGGATTTTCACATTCTTTGGCTCCTATCACTTTTTACTAGTGATTTCTACCAACTGTTAATTATTTAGTTGTTTTCATATATTTATGTCAATTTTCTACTGGAAATTCTGCCTGCTGTACAATGGCCTATGCAATATATGTCTTGTTTCAACCAATATAAAATCTGAGGTCAGTGACTATCAGAGGAGATCGATCCGTAGGATCAGGGCCTGTCTTCCACTGTAAGATTTAGTTTTCTTAAATCACATAGAATATCATTGATAAACTTCCTAGGGAATTAGGAGAAGTATTATTTATTAATTGTTAGCAAGTAACTGAGAAGGTTTTTAAACAAGTTTCTTCAATTCACACACTAATTTCTAAAGCATTTAATAGCTGTTTTAACATCAAGGAACCAGGAATTTGATAATACAGGAGAGGAGCCAGAATGATGTAAAGTAATTGACCACCTAATCGTCAATTTGGTGATATTTTGTATCTTGTACTTACCAGTCCAGGGCCAGGAGGGACAAACTGCCAAGGAGCCAGTGTGGAGCACATAGTATGTGAGAACTTGCCTTGCACCAAGGGATTGCCAAGTTTCAGGGATCAGCAATGCCAGTCTCAAGACAGGCAAGGTCATATGAAGAAAAAACACTGGACTGCAGTCCTCAACGATGGTGAGCATATGTTAAAACTGCTTCTTGAGTAAAGACCATTTCAAGGCTGAAGGATTATTGAACAAGTGCAGACTAAAGGTTACTTCTCCATTTAAACTGCTAATATATAAATTTGCATTAAATTTTGCCTTACTGCAGTCATCTATGTTCCAGTGCACTTCATAAAGAATCGAATGTTGTTGGGTGACAATAACATTCATTTAAGGGCAAACACAGTAGTTAATGCCTGCACAACAAATTTCTACAAATAATAATGAGAAAAATGTCACATGACAACTCAGAAACCAACTTTTGGTGTTCTTCATTCACTAAGGGCTCATGTAATGACCAACTAGGTGGTATTTAGACTTGCGTCTCCTACCTCAGTCAATATTCTGGTAGGCTGCTTGTGGTAGGTGAGAAAGAGAGTGCTGAGGTCAAAGGCTGTTGGAGGCTTCTGTGTGTCTTCTGGATTACAATTTGTAATGTCACTCACATTCTCCCAGGCACACATTCAGATGCATATTTCCTTCACTCACTCACAAGCTCTCTCTCATCAAACAGTCACTTTCATAGCATGCAGTCTCACTGCGAAACCCTTCATTTCATTTACCCCTTTTAACACTCATAGACAGTTATTCTCTCTCAGTCTCCCTTACAATCACTCATTCAGTCACACATTCCCTTCTCCCTTGATCATAGATCATAGCAGATCATTGAATCCCAACAGTGTGGAAACAGGCCATTTGGCCCAACAAGTCCACACTGCCCCTCCGAACAGCATCCCACCCAGACCCATTCCCTTAATTTCCCATGTCTAACATACCTAACCTAAACATCCCTGGGAACTATGGGCAATTTAGCATGGCCAATCCACCTACCCTGCACATTTTTGGACTGTGGGAGGAAACCCACGCAGACACAAGAAGAATGTGCAAACTCCACACACACAGTCATCCGAGGCTGGAATCGAACCCAGGTCCCCGGCACTGTGAGGCAACAGTGCTAACCACTAAGCCACCGTGCTGCCCAGTTGATCACCGGCCCAGTCTATGGGAATGGATTAGGGGAGCAATTAAAGTGGAGTGGCTTCAGTTCAGCTCCGTTTTCTCTGATTTACCATTTTAACAATGTGGTTAAGGTATTGAATGTGGTCCTTACCAGTGAGTTCTACTGTTTAAGGAATAACTGCCGCACACTGTGCACGGAAATTATGCGTCTTTGTTACCTGGTCTCAAGCCGTCCTTGACTGGCAGTCCCAGCCAGTACCTCACCTCTCACATGCATAACCTTGTTGCCACCAGGCAGCAATCAGCCCAATTGCTGCCACGTAAATCAATCAGCAGCTGCCATTGTCTGCTGAAACAATCTAACAGTCATTCTAATGAGGTGCAGCAGTTAAAATCCGCCATGCCTCCGCTAACGTCCCTCATATGGGATTACTGTTTCTGCCATGAGTTAAAATTGCCTTTGGGTCTCAGCCTGTCTGTACTGGAACTGATTTCAGTCTGTTCACTAGCAGCTCTCCTGTCACGTGGCAACAGTGGTGGCTGAGGAATGAAGCATGTACTGTGTGTGGTCAGGGTTATAAAGCAGTGCTGATATTACTAGCACTGAAGAAATAACTGCTAAAACTGTCTCAGCAATGAGCAAGAGGAAACAGTAAGAAATGGGATTCCCACAAGGTTTTGTCCAGTTTGTTTAATTTACTTTCCAAGTTTCACATTGATTGAAGCTAACGGTTTTCAACACTCCAATTTTTTTTTACAAAGTCCTGAAGCACAAGTGTGCAAACATGATGGATCTGTGCTGCATAAATTGTGATGAAAATTCCATCCTTATGTCTTTCTTCATGTCGCACTACTTTTCAAATAAAAGTCATACACCAGAAGAAAAAGTTATTACTTGTAAGTTTTTCATGAGCTGAAAACGTCTGCGAGTCAGTTGGAAAAGAGTGAGAGAATTGCCAATGTGGAAGCACAGGGCATTGAGCCAGGACCCTTGCAATCTGTAGAAGGCAGCAAAATGTTTTCAAGGTGATCGGCCATTTGCCAAGTACTTCTTTCCTAGAAACTCGTGTAACTTAAATTTCACATGCGCTGGGGCAGGACTTGGGGAAGCTATGGGTGCATGGGGAAATCATTTCCAATTTCCCCACTGGATAAAATCGATGGAAATAATAATCAGGCAGTTCCTGGAACTTGAGGATAAAAATTAGCCACTTAAATTGATGAAAGTAGAATTGTAAAGCAAAATAACTGGAGTAAGCCAGTTGGATGGAAGGAGAGAAATGTTCCTGTGCTGTAAATTCCATGTAAAATACAACTTCTGACCAGGGGACTAAATTTTAGAGCAGGAAGAAAAATATGAGTTAGATATGATCTGATGGTATGATTATAACAGGCAAGATTCTGGATAAATATGAGGGACATTCCAATGAAGTTGGACATTAGTCTGTCCCAGCCTCTATGTTGATGACTGTTATGAAGGATTAACAATGAAAGTGAATACTGGAGTAGGTTGCAAACTGGCCAATTGTTTTGTTTTAGAGCTCATAAAAACTGGAAAGTTGGCAGGTGGAGTTTCCAGCCTTGACTCTGCACAATAACATGTTTAAAAAGTTTGAATATAGCCAAAATAAGAGAGATTTAAACTTGGCTCTCATTCAGTCCAACCATAGAAATCAGGTGCTAGCTTTTTGAGTTTGACTTCCCTCTCAAAGTACAGTGCTATTGAAATTGGCTCACCTTCACATAACAAGCATTAAGCTCAGCCCTTGACAGGCCAGCCCCACCCTTATTATAACTTATTTCAAGATCATTTTGCCCATCTAGTCAATTTATATTGGAATGCAAGGAAGTGTGAGAGATCATTGTGGTGAAATCGGGCAGTCAGTCCCAAAGTTCAAACTATAGACTACAATGTCGCTTACTCTCCTCAGTCCCTTTCTCTGCAGGAATTCAGACCTGTAAGGAAAGAGTGAGACCATTCTGCTCCATGTGATTAGTTTCAGATTTAACAAGTGAAAGGCTCTTTACTGCCCTGATTTCTCAGAAGAGCACAAAATTTGGTCCTAGTTTGCTATAGGTGGAGAATAGATGAATTTCAAACAATTTAGATCCAGCATTCTAGAAAATTTACTTTGCTGTGAATAAATGTGACAGTGAAATAATTAACTGACCCTTATTTCATTGTGAATAGTATAGGACAAAATAAAGATCTTTGGGCTTGACTCGTCATATTGCTTTGTACCATGGGGATCCTATGCTTTTGAACTCTCTTAGTGGACTGCATTGTGCCAACTCAACCAAATGTATTCCACTTGAGCAGCATCTTTTTTATTCATTCATAGGATGTGAGTATCGCTGGCAATCATGTATTGCCCATCCTTAGTGCTTTTGAAAAGGTGGTAGTGATCTGCCACCTTGAATTGCTGCAGTCCATTTGGTATAGGCCCACCCACAATACTATTAAGGAGTGCTAGAATTTTGATCCAGCAACACTGAAGGAATGTCAATATGTTTCCAAGTCAGGATGGTGAGTGGCTTGGAGGGGAACTTGCAGGTGCTGGTGTTCCCATGTACCTGCAGCCCTTGTCCTTCTAGTGGAAGTGGCCATGGGTTTGGAAGGTTCTGGCTAAGGAGCTTTGGTGAATTCCTGCAGTGCATCCTGTAGATAGTGTAGCAGCAGTGTGCACTGTGTCAATGGTGGAGGAATTGAATGTACGTGGATGTTTGTATGTATGTATGTGTGCCAGTAAAGCAGGCTTTGTCCTAGATGGTGTAAAGCTTATTGAGTGTTATTAGAGTTGAACCTCATCTAGGCAAGTGGGAGTATTTCATTTTACTCCTGACTTGTGACTTTGTAGATGGTGGACAGGCTTTGGGAAGTAAGGAGGTGAGTTACACACTACATGATTCCTAACCTCTGATCTAGCCACAGTATGGCTGATTGAATACAGTTCTGGTCAATGGTAACCCCAGATGTTGACAATGTGTGATGCAGAAATGGAATTGAATGTCAAGAGGTTTTGTCAAGATTTTTTTTCATGTTGGAATTGGTTATTGCCTGGCACTTATGTGGCATAAATGTTACTTGCCACTGTCAGTCCAAACCTAGATATTATCCAGATTTTGCTGCATTTGGACATGGACTGACTCAGTACCTGAGGAGTTACAAATGGTGCAGAATATTGTGCAATCATGAGTGAGCATTTCCACGTCTGGTCTTTATGGAGGGAAGGTCATTGATGAAGCAACCGAAGATGGATGGACCTAAGACATCACCCTGAGGAGCTCCTACAGAGATGCCTTGGAGCTGAGATGACCTCCAATAAACATAACCACAAACCTTTGTATCAGGTATTACTCCAACCAGTGGAGAGCCGATTAACAGTGAGTCTAATTTTCCTCGGGCTCTTTGATGCCACATTCTGCCAAAATATGTTTAGATGCCAAGGGCAGTCACTCTCACTTCATCCCCAGAACTCAGCTCTTCAGTCTATATTTGAGCTGAGGCTGTTATGAGGTCAAGTGCTGAGTGGCCCTTGAGGAACCCAAACTAAGCATCAGTGAGCGGATTTCTGAGTCCAACAATCCTCACCTTTTGTCACAGGGCACATTTAATTCCTAGCCACAAAAAACAGCTAATGCGATAGGAATTAGGGAAGGCGATAGCCTAGTGGTATTATCGCTAGACTATTAATCTAGGTCCAAGTAATGTTCTGGGAACCTGGGTTTAAATCCTGCCACGGCATCAGGACCATCTAGCACCAGGACGTCTCTGCAGGAGTTCCTCAGTGTAGTGTCCTAGGCCCAAACATCTTCAGTTGCTTCATCAATGACCTTCCCTCCATCATAAGGTCAGAAGTGGGGATGTTCACTGATGATTGCACAATGTCCAGCACCATTCGTGACTCCTAATATATTAAAGTAGTCCATGTTCAAATGCAATAAGTTCTGGACAATATCCAGAGATAGTAAGAACTGCCGATGTTGGAGTCAGAGATAACATAGTGTGGAGCTGGAGGAACACAGCAGGCCAGGCAGCATCAGCCTTCCATCCGTTGACTCTGTCTATATTTCCCACTGCCTCAGAAAAGCAGCCAACATAATCAAAGACCCCTCCCACCCCAGTTCTACTCTTCCACCATCTTCCATTGGGTGGATGATAAAAAAGTTTGAAAACAAGAACCAACAGATTCAAGAATGGCTTCTTCCCTGCTGTTATCATATTTTTGTATATATATTTTTGTTATCTTGTATATTACAGTTGATCTTTTTCTGTACCTTCTCTGTAGCTGTAACACTGTATTCTGCATTCTGTTCTAATACCTTGATGTATTTATGTAAGGTATAATTTACATGGCTATTACGCAAAACAAGACTTTTCATTGTGTCTCGGTACGTGATAATAGTAAATCAAATCAAATCATATCAAATCAAATCAAATCAGATCTATTGACCGAAGGATGAGCATCCTAAAAGTTTCCTGCTGTTACAGCTTTCTCTCCTGCAGGAAGATGTGGTGGTTCCAGGTGGTGTGTACAGATCATATGATAGCACAACTCTATAAATCTATCTATCTAGTGAAAAAGAGATATGAATGTGGCCATGGTTAGTTTATCACAGGAATTTTCCTGATCTTTCTTAAAGAGAAACATCTGAATTATTTGGTTAAGGATTTGTTCGGTTTTCTTTTCATTTTCTTGTCATTGGTTCTCATCTCCTCTTGGCAGTCTTCTCTTCCTTATATGACCTGATTTTTCTGGGCAGGTCTCCAATTTTTGGATCTTTGGATTTCCTTTACTAGGTTTGTTAATAATTCTGTCTGTTGCTCATCATGGCGTTGAAACTCTATGACCATCAGTGGCCTCCAATTCTGACAAATTTTAATCCCTGTACAGGTAGCCTTCTACTAATACAGCAATGCAAATACCTTCTTCAGATATGTTCAGAAGGTCTGTATTTTGGTAATCATACCCATCATTTTAGAGGCCTAGTGTTATTAATCCAGGGACAATATTAATGTTCTAGGGACCTGGGTTCGTATCCCACCATGGCAGATGGTGGACTAAGAATTCAATAAAAATCTGAAATTAAGAGTCTATTGATAATCGTCAGAAAAAAAAAGGTGCCACTGAAAAGTGACAAGGACCATCCCTAGTAAGAAACAATCTAACCCAGCTCCTCATCCTTTAGTGATCTAATCATCATTGAATCCCTCACTATCAACATCCCAGGGGCTACCATTGATCAGAAATTGAATTGGACTTGCAAAATGAATAAAGTGGCTACAAGAGCAGGTCAGAGGCAGGAATCCTGCAGCAGTTAACTCACCTCATGACTCCCCAAAGCCTGTACAGCACCTACAAGGCACGTGTCAGGAGTATGATGGAATACTCCCCACTTGCCTGGAAGAGTTCAGCTGTAACAACATTCAAGGAACTTGACATCATCCAGAACAAAGCAGCCTGCTTGATGGGTACCACATTCACAAACGTCCACTCCCTCCATCATTGATGCTCAGTAGCAGCAGTGTGTACCATCTGTAAGATGCACTGCTGAAATTCACCAAGACTCCTTAGACAGCCCCTTTCAAACCCACAACCACTTCTATCTCGAAGGACAAGGAAAATGGGAACATCATCACCTGCAGATTCCCCTCCAAGCCACTCGCCATCCTGACTTAGAAATATATCATTGTTCTTTTAGTGTCACTGGGTCAAAATCCTGAAATTCTGTCCCTAACAGCATTGTGGGTCTACCTCCAGCGCATGGACTGCAGCGGTTCAAGAAGGCAACTCACAATCACTTTTAGACTAGAGATGGGCAATAATGCCCAAAAAAAAAATAAAGTCCTGAATGCAGATCAATTTCCGCATCCCCCCGCACCCCTGTCCATTGAATGTTCCAATTGGGAAAAGAACTATGAGGGACTCTGGACCTGACACAGTGCCATCTGTGGAGAGAAATCAGAGTTAACGTTTCAGGTCAAGTGCCACTGTCAGGAAAATGGCTACTTTGGATAGGAATCTCGTTTAGATTGTTCTGGAACAAGTGAGTAAAGTGGCTGGCTTGGGAAATGTCATTGCAAACAAGAATTAGTGAAATCAAGTGAAGTCTTTCATCAACACTGATCTCACTATTCAGTAAATCTCTTCAGGTGACTCAACATTTTAATGGTTAATGCAATGATTCCACTTTCCAGGAGTAGCAGCAAGAAGCTGTCTGAGGCTAGCTTGAAGTCATAGTATTAGACTAAAACAGACCTAATAATAATGTCTTCTCTTGTCTAAATGCACTTATTCAAGTCAGGCACTCTCCATGCCTTTCTGCTCCTATGATGCTGCTTGGCCTGCTGTGTTCATCCAGCTCTGCACCTTGTTGTCTCGGATTCTCCAGCATCTGCAGTTCCTACTATCTCTGATTCACTCTCCCTGTATTCCTAGGTTTAGGCATCATATTCACCAGTTTAGTTCTGCCTTCTTGTGTCTGGTGAGCTTGCAATTTTGAGGAAGAACATGGTTTCTTTCGTATTTGTTAGATATAAGTTTCAAACAAATATGGATTAAAATTGTTTAATGATTGAATCAGCAACAATCTTATTTAATGTTGGAACCTGCCTCAAAGGCTGAATGGCACATATATTCATTCCATGTATATTTCCCTTTGATCTCTCATTCCAAGGAGAAACATCTCCAGTCTCACCATCAAACTCTTTTTCATTCCTCTGTACTACATTAACTTTCCAAATTAAAATGCACAGAGAGGTTCTGCTCTTACTTGAGCTTTTAAACAGAATTAACTTAATTTGGGGAACTATGAACACTACTTAAAGTTCAAATGAACACAATCTCACTAGTTGCCCCATTACCGAGCACTGAAGCATGAAAATCTCCCAGTGGGATTACAATCTAATGAGTGTATCCAACAGTGAACCATTTAACACACAATCACAATTAATTCCAATATAGGACACCCAAGGCAGCCATTTCCAGGCTGCAGTGTAATACAGAGAACCCACAACAGCTTCACTAAGGATGAGCCTTCAATTGAAGGATTATTCAGAGCTCAGTAGTGTCCTTTATAATTTTGGATTGATATCCGAGACTACGTTCGGAAGTAGAGAATTATTTAATGACTCAATGTCATTTGCTGCTTTTGATGCATATTTCATTGCTTGGGTCAAAAGTTTTAGTAGTTTCAATACAGTCCATAGCTGTCTAAATTCTGTGTGGGCCGTGGATTGAACATTCTGCATGACAATTGAACCAATCTCTGAGAAAGAGTCACTTGACCTGAAACGTTAACTCTGATTTCTCTCCACAGATGCTGCCGGACCTGCTGAGCTTTTCCAGCAATTTCTGTTTTTGACTCTCATCTCTGAGTATAACAGTTGTGGATTTGAGCCCCACAAGAGTATTTATCACATAACGTGGCATTATACTCTAGTGCACTGTTCGGAGTGTAGCTTTGTCAGAGGTGCTGCCTTTCAGATGTGATCCAGTTTCAATGGGTCAGGAAAGGATTAGGTCTGGGTAAATTGAAATCAAAGATTTGCAGGCTAAAGTCCAACAATGGGCAGCCTTTAACAAGATGATATTTCAGGTAGAGTCAACTTTCATTTGCACAAGGAGGAAAAGTATGCAGCCAAATTCAGATCTCCCTGGGGGTTGAAAGACTTTGAGAGTAAGATGAAGCAAATGTTGGGGATCAATGACAGATGTCTCTTTGGTAATGCAAGCGAGAACCATTTTGAATATAAAAAAGGAAATGAAAGGGAAGTAAGAGAAGCAGATAGAGTATGAGTTTGAACTTAAAGAGTTTATTTTTGAGGTGAAGCAGTTTAGATGGTAGGAATATAATTGAACCATGCTGGCAGAGTAACACAATCCCCAATTTAAAACAATTACACTGTCATTTACATAGTAGCTCTAACATTGTAAACGTTGCATGATGCTTCACAGGAACATTTTTCAGACACCAGGCCAATTAGAGGTATTCGGATTAGGAAGAAAACTTTGACCAACAAGTCAGATTTTGAGAGAGACTTAAAGAATAAGAGAAAGTGCCAGATGAAGGCACAGCACTGATGGCAGAGCAATCAAAATCAGACTCATGGAGCAGAATGCTGTCGTTATGTCAGCGACACTAAGAACTAGATGTTGTTGCGTTTATACATTATGATAGTTGATTCAAGTTCACTTATCTTAACCCTATTCTGCCTTTGTAAATGTGGAAACTATTTTCCTTTAGAGTTGCATAATGTGAATAACCTAAGTTGTTATCTGACTCTGCTGATCAGAGTTGCCTTTTCCTTTTTCAGATGATCCCTGCACTTTGTATTGCTCCTCTTTTGGGAAAGAGTCCCCTGTCCTGGTAGCCGAGAGAGTTCTTGATGGTACTCCCTGTGGACCATATGAGACGGACCTTTGTGTGAATGGCAAGTGTAAGGTAAGTTCAAACAGTCAGGAAACACAGCAAAGAGGAGAAATGCAGATATTGTAGGAGCTTACATATTAAATACTAATAAATAATACTGTCATAGTGAGTCCTGCAAGGTGTATTGCCTCCTTGATGCCAGAGCTAATGATGTCAGATGGTGCAGAATATTCTTGACGGAATGAAAAGTACGCTAGAAATTGTATATGGCGGTACTGTTGTGAGCCCAGCTGATGTTATAGAAACATTGAAGCTAGGAGCATGAGGAGGCCATTCGGCCCTTTGAGCCTGCTCTGCCATTCATCACGATCATGGCTGATTGTCCAATTCAATAGCCTAATTCTACTCTTGCCCCATAACCTTCGATCCCATTCTCTCCAAGTGCAATATCTAGCTGCCTCTTGAATACATTCAATACTTTAGCATCAACTGCTTCCTGCGGTAATGAATTCCACAGGCTCACCACTCTTTGGGTAAATAAATGTCTCCTCATCTTCGTCCTAAATGGTCTACCCTGAATCCTTAGACTATGACCCCTGGTTCTGGACACACCCACCATCAGGAACATCCTCCCTGCATCTATCCTTTCTAGTCCTGTTAGAATGTTATAAGTCTTTTTGAGGTTCCCCCTTGTTCGTTTGAACTCCAGCAAAAACAGTTCTAACCTAGTCAATTTCTCCTCATACATCAGTCCTGCCATCCCTGGAATCAGCCCGGTAAACCTTTGCTGCACTCCCTTGAGAGCAAGAGCATCCTTCCTTAGAAAAGGAGACCAAAACTGCTCACAATATTCTAGGTGTGGCCTCACCAAGGCCCTGTATAACTGCAATAACACATCCCTGCTCCTGTACTCAAAACTGTTTGCAATGAAAACCAACATACCATTTGCCTTCTCTATTACTGGAAAAATCAGATCCCAGCCTGAAGTCTGGCTGGATAGATCATATTTTGTTTTGTTTTCGTTTTAAGAGAGTGGTCTCTCACTGAAACATAAGCACACAAGGTTACAGATTAGGTTTTAATAACAAAAGAGAAGTTTATTAAGCAAAGAAAATAAAGATAAAATAAAATAAAGCAGACCGTCAACTTATGACACAAACATAAAGACTTCTGAATCATGCAGTGAAATATAATCCCATTAATTCCAAAATTTCTCCTTTACAAATCCCAAAAATCAACCCTGTATGTTACCGAAAGTACCCCTTGCACAGTATTCACACCAGAAAATCCCAATCTCTAACACCTCAGTGAGTTTAATTTGACCTCAAATCCCGTCTGGAAATCTGAGACAACAAGGTGCAGGGCTGGATGAA